ATTGTTCCAAGTCTTCTGGAATTTAGGATTTCTGTTGAGAAATCCAATGTTTCTCTGATTGGCTTATCTCTAAATGTGACCTGACATTTCTCTCTTGAGACTTTTAAAATTGTATCCTTTTTCTGAATATTTGTCATTTTAATTATAGTGTGTTGTGGAGAGTTTCTTTTCTGGTCTTATCTGTTTGGGATTCTAAATGCCCCCAGTATCTGGATGTCCATTTCATTCTTAAAGTTCAGAATATTTTAATAGTATTATTTTATTGACTAGACTATCGATGCAATTAGCCCATATCTCTGCTTCTTCCTCTGTACTTATGCACCTTATTAAGTCTTTTAATGTCTCAGAGTTCTTGGATATTTTGATCAGTTTCTTATTTTGTCTTTACTACTGTCAGAATGTTCCAGAGTATCTGCCTTGTACTCAAGCTCTGAACTTCTTCCATTTGATCTAATCTGTTGGAGTCTCTCAGCTGAGTTTAACTTATTGTGCTTTGCCTTTGCAGAATTCTTTTTCAGAATCTCTTTATTGAAATGCATATTCATAACCCATATTTCCCCCTTAGTTCATTGTTTAGATTTTCGTTTAATTTACTGATCATTTTAACAATTTTTGAATTCTTTTTCTGGCATTTCATTCACTTCAATGTCTGACTTTGTCAACTTTTTGGTGACTTGTATTGTTTCCTTGTTTTGCTGAGATCCTATATTTGTACATCTGTTGTGATGGACTTTTTTTTTTTTTTTGAGTGTCTTCTAGTGATCATTTATCTCTTTAAAATTACCTCCAGCCCAGTGATTATGCCAGTTGGATGTGTTGATACTAAAATAATCAAAGTGCTAATTTCAACTACCAGCACCACTTTGAGAGGAGAAAGTAACTGACAGTAACAGTGGTAATTTAAAAGCAAACTAAATATCAACATGTGCTATGAGAGTGGGTGTAAAATATAGAATATGCTAAAAAAATCGAGCATTAATGATGCTATACTTCATACTAAATTATACTGCAGGAAGAGGGAAAAGAGAAAGGAAAGGGAGGCAGAAAAAAGGGAGAAAGGGAATACATATGAAAAAGAAGGAAGAAGTAGCAAGAAAACCCCAATTGAAAGAATACATCAAACGAGTTGGAATCATAAAAAACCAATGAGGGAAGACACAACAAAATACAAAAAACAGGGGCTAGGGTTGGGGTTCAGTGTTAGACTGCTCACCTAGCATGTGTGAGGCCTTGGGTTCGATCCTCAGCACCACATAAAAATAAAGGTACTGTGTCCAACTACAACTAAAAAATATTTTAAAAATTGGCGGGGGGGCGCTGGG